TGCAGTGCTGTGTCTCACTGTGTCTCTGGTCTCTGTGCTCTGCAGTGCTGTGTCTCACTGTGTCTCTCTCTCCAGCTGCTCAGGCCCCAGGCTGAAGCGTGTGGTGCTCAGGTGTGTCCCTGTCCTCTCCTGGCTGCCCCGTTACTCCTTCAGGGACTATGCCCTGGGGGACCTCGTCTCCGGGATCAGTGTGGGCATCATTAATGTCCCCCAGGGTGAGAGGAAGTAGCCATTTCTAGTCTCCAGCCTGATATGTCCCCACCTTTTACTCAGACACTGCATTGCAAGTTGAGTTAATTCCCCGCAGTCTCATTTCTGTGTATATCAAATCTCATCACTCAGTTGTTCGAATAAGCCAGCAAGTCTGGTAAGGCCTCCATGTACTCTGTAAATACCTGTATATATTAACCTGAGTACTTCATCTACATTATAGCTTTGCAAGTCTGCTGAATGATAATCAGGGAGTGCATTTAGTAAAACCCATAATGGATCAGAACACTGTCGAAAGGGAGCCTGACTTCCCAGTTATCTTTCCCTGTGTGGCTCCAGGCATGGCGAATGCTCTCCTGGCCTCAGTCCCCCCTGTGTTCGGGCTGTACTCCTCTTTCTACCCTGTGCTGGTGTACTGCTTCTTCGGGACGTCCCGGCACGTCTCAGTGGGTGAGTGTATTGAGTTTCTGCCTTTTGTGTTCCAATGTCTGCTGCACTGCCGAGTGTCCCTTCCACTGTGCTAAGTGTGTGTTGAGCTGCAGCGCTCGGTGCTCGTCTCACCACAGGCACCTTTGCCATCCTGGCCATCATGGTTGGCACGGTGACCGGGGATGTGATGCTGGATGCAGTGTTGCCTGGCAACATGACTAATGCAGCGATGCAGTGGCCCAGTCAACAGATGGGCAGAGTGAGTGTGGCAGCTTCAGTGACCTTCCTGTCCGGGCTGATCCAGGTACATACAAATTTGTACTGTACACACAGTGACATACTGTATACACCTGTACTGTGCACACATCTGTACATACATAACTTTACTATTCTGTATAGTACACAAGTGTATGATATACACATACTGTTACTGCATGCACACCTGTACTGTGGAGTATGAACATCTGTTTTGTAATGTACACACATGTACTATACAGTGACTGTACTATACACATACCTGTAGTATATACATATCTGTGCTGAACTTTGCACACCTGTTCTATATGCTCACCTGTGAGAAACCACACACAGGTTAATTATCAAGTCAAGAGACGTGGTACTGAACTGCACATTCTATACTACTCTCATCAACACTCCCCCCTGTGCTTCTCTCTCTACTCTCGTACCCTCCTCTGTCTCAGGTGGCTCTGGGGGCCCTTCGTGGGGGCGTGGTGTCACGTTGGCTGTCAGAGCCCCTGGTTCGAGGGTACACCACTGCAGCCGCCATCTACGTCACAATCTACCAGCTGCGCTTTCTGACAGGCATCACAGCGGACAGGCACAGCGGGGTCTTCGCAGCCATGAAGGTGTGTGGAGCCAGAAGGCGGAAGAGGAGCAGGGGATCGGGAATAATTGCTTACCTAATTAAGTTTTAGATCAGTGCAGATTTTTGAACACAGAGTATTGTGGTGGGGTCTGTCTGTTTATCCAGCATGTATTTTTTCTGTGGTTCTAGGG